GAGGAAAAGCAGTTCAAGGTCAAACTTACTGTCATAGACACCCCCGCGTTTGGTGACTATGTCGACAACTGCGATTCACCGAAGTCGAAATCATCAAGGCTGAGCTTGAGGAAAAGCAGTTCAAGGTCAAACTTACTGTCATAGACACCCCCGGGTTTGCGATTGACCTCATCTCGATGACGAAGGAGTTGCACTACAAGAACTACAGGCAGCAACAGATGGAGATGAGGAATGCTCGCTACTTATCTCTATGCACATGCTCGACCTCATCTCGACAACGAAGGAGTTGCACTACGAGAACTACAGGCAGCAACAGATGGAGACGAGGAACACTCTCTACCTATCTCTATGCACATGCTCGACCTCATCTCGATGACGAAGGAGTTGCACTACGAGAACTACAGGCAGCAACAAATGGAGACGAGGAAGTTTGGGGAGCCCACTCACATCAGCATCTTTGGGCGAGATGGCGGGAAACGGACTTACTCGTCTGTATTGTGCTGGTAGATATCATTCCTAAGCGTGATATAGTGGCTTGGCCTGCTAGCTGTAGAAAAAATCAGCTGATACAAAGACAACGCGCAGATTTGATTAAGAAAATTGGGAGTGGGAAACGGACTTACTCGTCTGTGTTGTGCTTGTAGATATCATCGCTAAGCGTGATATAGTGGCTTGGCCTGCTAGCTGTAGAAACAATCAGCTGATAAAAAGACAACGCGCAATTTTTGACGAAAACGCGCACCGCGCAAGGTGCGGAACGCGCAAATAATAAATGTGCAGGTGTTACACCATACGGTGCCAGCATCCGTGCGCAACATCTCTATAAGATTCCTATCGCATCAAGGAGCACTCCTACTAACTCCGGCAAGATACATTTATTCACAGAAAACTTGTGGGGGAAGATCAACCAGTTGGATGGAAGAACAACCCCATCAAGTGGGAGGTTCGGATCCACTCTATGATTTATCACGAAAGAGGAGAGGATATCCTCGATGTAGGCACATAGAACAGACAGATTGACGCTTAAACGGTGGTCGAGGACATGCTTGGGGAGCACTGAGCACACACATATGAACCCAAGGCACGAGCTCACTGTAGATACAGAATTCCCGAAGAACTCCTCGGTACGAATTGACCATGTCGAGCACCAACATCAGGAAATCACGCATTCACTTTTTACCCACTTATATCCAACTTTTCGCATGTCGTAGTAGGCAAGTAGTGCAAAGTCGAAAAAAGCAGTTTCAACTTTTTTCAGTAGATCTCTCTACTCAAATGATACATATTCTCAACTTTTTCACACTTATTTTTGCGAGACCCACTTGAAAGAGCACAATCATAGGCATTAAAAGTCAACTACACAAAAAAAGTAGTCCAAAAGTGCAAATAGTGGAGAGAGAAAGTGGTTGAAAAGCGCAAAAAGTAGAGTAAAATGACGGCTCAGATGAGCGGAAAGTGACGGCGGGGGGGAGGGGGTTCATTAATGTGAGGATGGAGCAGTGAAACTGATACACGAAGCCGAAAACAACAAATATTCTGTCAGATGTATTAGTAAAACACAAGACTACAACGAGCAAAAAAACCTACAGAGCAGTGCACGTCCACCCCTGGGTTTCACGGTCTCAATGGGAGCATTTTTGACTTGAGCTGCCTCCTGGTGCTGGCACACCAAGTCAATCGTATCCGCTGTGTACTGTGGTCCACGTCTCGTAATGGATTCATAGTATTCAGCCATCGTGGCCCCGCAGTTAATCTCGGAAAAGGCCTTTGCCGCAGTGCTCTCTTTGCCGGTGGCTTTATTGAGCTTGCGAGTCGTACTACCGCCCTTCGTGCTGCTAGTGGTGGTTTGGGTGTCCTCATCCTCTTTCGGTTTGGCAATGAAGGAGAAAGCACGTTCGAGCTATGAAAATACTACCGTTAATCAAACTCAAAATTTAAAATCTGTTGATGGAACCTACTGCGGCAGCGCATGCGGCAATTATAGTCTCCATACCCTTTGATTGCAGATCATGGGTGTTGAGTGCTGGTACGTCGAGGGATCCAGCAGTTGCATTGAGATGAGCCGTCTCAATCATTTCTAACATGAATGCAGACCGGTAGATCTCGTCGGGGTCGCAAGCGTCTGGATTCTCATAGAGGAAGGCATACTGCTCGAGAAGATTCGCTGCCAGTGCCTGTTCAAAGTCGAAGTCGTCATCCTCTTCGTTCTTGTCATATGTTGAGGATGCCAAAAAATTCGCAACGAGGGCGATCCCTGTGGACCCGAAATTGCTGCACCAGGAGTATAAACATTGATTCACCTTTGGTTGTGGTTGAAAAATAATTCGCACATGGAAAACAACAGTGGGACTCACCAAGCCTATGATAGGGCCTTTCGGTTGAACATTATGCATTACTCCTGGATATGGGACCTCAAAAATAGCCTGGAGTGCTGGGAGTAAATGCTCAGTCTCAATTGTCCAGAAATTCGGCTGAGAGCCTGCCCAAAGAAAAACGGTCGGGATAAAATTCCTGCGCCACGTGCCGTTCTCCAACATGATTGGTGGGAGATCAGTGTTTCGCCATTGGTATCCAGGTTTTGGCTTTATCGCTGTGTCAGTGGACATCAAATCGGGCTTGGGCGATACCAGAATACTAGGGGAACTCATTGATTCCACTTTTGCTTTCTTGGGCAGGTTCGGGTTCTTGGAAACCGTTACGCTGGTCTGGCGGTGCATCAGTCTCATGATAGAATCATTCTCAAAAATGAATACTTACCTTTGTAGTGGTGCGCATGGGCTTGGGAACCTCCTCGACCTCTGAGTTGGGAGAGATAACTTCAACATCCTCGCTGTCAAGTATCATTAAATCAGCGTCCGAGTCCACGTCGTATTCCTTCTCGACTTCTTTGATTGTCCGCTTTGCAACACTGACAGTGCGAGTAGACTGCTCTAAAGCATATGTCACAATTTCAGCTTGTTGAGAGAACAGTAATAAGTTGAATGGAATGGACACTGGCACTTCCTCATCTGAGTATGGTTCTGCAATCCCTACAACACTCTAACACAAAACATTACAGTAAGTGTGGTATGTCAAGCATTGCCAGTGACTTACCTGCATTGCCGCCTTCACTTTGCCACTACCTGTGGGGGCGGACAGGTATTCTTCAAACTCATCATCCTCATCCGATGCGGAAGCCTCTGAAGGATCGTACAAAGTAGGGGGAGGGTCCTTGGCTAGTGAGACAGTGGTTGCCGCCGTCTGACTCGATAAGAAAGTACTAGTTGCTGACTTCAAAACATTTTTGGCTGAAACAGATTGAACGTCACTAGCAACTGGGGAGTTTTTGGTGTTTGTCCCAGGCTCTACGTGATTGCACCAGTCCTTAACCTTTCCCAATAAATTGTATTTTTTATTGCTGAGCGCCCAAGTACGGGTCATGAAGTGGAGGGTTGATTCGGTGAGCATCAGCTTCATGATGGTGAGAACGAACCACTGACACGATAGGATTTCCTTTCTTGTCACTGGTGTTGGACTCTGGACATTCGGACGACGGACTGACTGGAAGCCTAGCGACGTCAGAGTGAGACATGACGAGCGCAACCAGTCCATACAGCGAGACGACGCATTGACGTCAGCCGAGGCTGTCGAAATTAGTTTCTTTTATCTCTATGCCATTCATCATTTACCATTACTATACTGACTTCATATAAAGTGTCGAGTTCATCGTACGGGCATCTCAGTTTCTTCTAGACACTGAGATGTAAGCCGTTTATGTTTTTCTTATTACTATACAGATCGCTAACCAAACGTAGATACATTGTTTTCTCAGGTACTTTACATTGTGCTACGCAAGTTTCTTCTAGACACTGAGATATACATTGTTTTCTCAGCTCTTACTCCGCTCCCACTCGACTGTGATCACCACAACTGGCAGCCTGTGCCTTGCCTTTGCGCAGGTCTCCATCAACAATCTGCCTCTTTGCAGCGTTGATTGCCTCACGCAACATGTTGTTGACCTTCTTCAAATTCTTCTTCAGCTTCGCGGCATCCAAATTCCCTATCGCATCGCCATTGCCATAATTTTCTATGTCTGCACCATCAGCACGCCTCCTCCTCACCATGGTGCGATCATCTGCACCTTGAACCATCGCCTGTACTGGAGGCACCTGGGAACTCTCTGAGGTGGCTGCACCTTTCGCTGTTGGCTTCTTCTTGACCGCCTTAGGACGAGGCTTTACTGGCTTTGTCTTCCCAGTTGCTTGAGTGGCCTGCTCAACCTCCATGGCAGCCTCAATACCAGCAATTCGGCTGATTCCATGTCGCACAGCAGCTTCCTGGACTGCCTGTCCTTCTCTGGCATGACGCTTGTCTTCTTCGATCTGGGCCTGGGTGCGTCGCTTCCTTTGACCTTCTAAAACAACTTGCCCAGGGTGCTGTGATGCATTTTTGGCGCGTGTACGTCGAGGAGAGATGGGAGTTGCCATGGCAGATATGAAAGGCAGGCAATGGCAGGAGAAATATGCCGAGGATGGGACCTGATAAATGGTAAGAGTTGAAATACAAACTTCAAAATTTCCTAAACTCAAACAAACAACCCTTAGTACCTCATATCGATTCACACAACTTTCCAAGTCCGCCTGCTCTCTCTGCGTACGTTGGGCCTTCTTTCACCAGACCTGATACTAGCAATTCTTCGAATCGTTTGCACCCCCAACTCCGAATACCATAAATTCAAGCATCAGTAAGCTGACGGCAGACTGCCGGGAGCTGATATTGACCTTTCTTCCAACCAGCTCCATCCACGCAGTTCTTCGAATCGTTTGCACCACCAACTCCGAATACCATAAATTCAAGCATCGGTAAGCTGGTGGCAGACTGCTGGGAGCTGATATTGACCTTTCTTCCAACCAGCTCCATCCACGTGGTTCTTCGAATTGTTTGCACCACCAACTCCGAATACCATAAATTCAAGCATTGGTAAGCTGGCGGCAGACTGCTGGGAGCTGATATTGACCTTTCTTCCAACCAGCTCCATCCACACAGTTCTTTGATTCGTTTGCACCGCCGACTCCAAATACCATTAATTCACACATCATGACGCATCATGACTTCAGCGCTCTTTGCATTCCTTGCACCAAGTCGGGGTGCAACCATTGGTTTAAGAATCGGTCGGGGCATACACAGCATATGAATGTGGTGCACCCCATGTTTGCACAGCCATCCGCATCAATTCAGCCTCATGCCCGTTCACCCGGCCCTGTGCCCCCCCCCCCCAATGTTGTACTAGATTCTGGTGATGCCATGGACTTCGGTGACGATGAAGATCCTCTGCAACCAGCAGCTGAATTCGTTGGCGCTGGCAGCCGGTTGTATAGAAATTACCATCCCTTCTTGTCTGGTGAGTATTTTGTCGCACTTTATGGTTCTACATTCTGTAGCTAATTCATCATTATGACTCCAAAAGCTCGCCCCTGTGATGACAAGGGCAACTTCCTTGCACCAGGTACTCCACCTCAACCTCTCTCGGACAAGGCATCGGATGACTGGAGTCCCTACGGGAGCCGTGTCGAGTTTGAACTTGCCGACTACTTATTTACGAAGAACCAGACCCTGGTACATTCGATCAATCAATTGCTGAACATCTGGGCAGCTTCTTTAATCCAAGCTGGTTGCAAGGCACCTCCATTTGCAGATTACCATGACGTGTACAAGACAATTGACAACACTCCTCTCGGCGAGGTTAAATGGCAATCATTTTCAGTCAAGTTTACAGGTGCGATTCCAGACGAGGGTGCTGCGCCCTGGATGACAGATAGCCATGACGTTTGGTTTCGTGATCCCCACGACGTTGTTCGAAATATGCTTTCCAACCCAGATTATGCTACCAAGATCGATCTCCAGCCGTACTGTGAGTTTGCAACAGAGAATGACGAGCGCCAGTGGCAGGACTTCATGTCCGGAGATTGGGCTTGGTCTCAAGCAGTATGCCTTTCTTTACCTTTGTTCTCCTCTGGTTTGACAAGGGCATCTGCAGGACAAGATTGCTGAGGATGCTGAGACTCATGGCTCAACATTTGTGCCCATCATTCTCGGAAGCGACAAAACAACCATTTCAGTTGCAACGGGGCAAAATGACTACTATACTCTCTACACGTCTATCGGAAATGTTCGGAATAATGTCTGACATGCTCACCGTAATGCCGTTGTTGTCATAGGGTTTCTTGCAATGCCTAAAAGTAAGTGGTCGCTTGTTTCATGTATTATTGTCCTCACATCTTGCAAAGCTACCAAACAGCATGCCGAAACAGCAAGCTTCCGCAATTTCCGGCGTCAAATTTTTCATTCCTCGCTCTCATTTATCCTCAAGAACTTAAAACCTGGCATGATCAAGCCCGAGGTCGTGCATTTTGGCGATGGGCACTATCATTGTGTAATGTATGGACTTGGACCTTACATCACGGATTATGAAGAACAAGTATTGCTTGCCTATATAGTGCGAAACTGGTGTGCTAAGTAAGTCTTTTGAATGACACATTACTATACTATTTGTTCTTATGCCGTGTCAGATGTCTTTCGCGTCACGGCAACCTTGATGAGATTAATCTCTGCCGCTCAAGACTTCACGCAGATGCACCTATTGAGGAGTGTGACCATGCAACACTGTGGGACGAATATGGCATAGTCAGGGAGCTCGTGGTACCAATGTTGCTCACTCCTGTTTGTACTTAGATTTAACTCATATATTCAGCTGTTTACGAACGATTTCCCCCGCGCTGATATCCATGAGCTGCTCGCACTGGATATTCTCCATCAAATTATCAAGGGGGCATATAAAGATCATTTGGTTGATTGGGTTGAAAAATACATCCACTGAACACATGGAAAGTCGCAAGCTAACATAATTCTAGATGATATTGACCGAAGGTGTGTTTACTCGACCAGTATTTTGATTAATCGGTCTTAGTTTTTTTTACACTACCACTACTACTAGGATTGCAACTGTTCCTTCATTTCCGGGACTGTGTAGATTTCCCCAAGGCCGCCACTTCAAACAGTGGACAGGTGATGATTTGAAGGCCCTCATGAAGGTGATTTTACATACAATTCTACTCAGAAGTCGGGATAATGTAGTGCTAACTCTCTCAAGGTATGTCTGCCGGCAATCGAAGGCTACGTCCCTACAGATGTTGTGCGCACGTTCCGTGCGTTTCTCAAATTCTGTTATCTCGTCCGCCGCAACATAATCACGGAGACATCGCTCAATGAAATTCAAGATGCACTCACTCGTTTTCACAGATATCGTGAGATTTTCAAGACTACGGGTGTAGTTTTAACTTTCTCGCTTCCTCAACAACACTCGATGACTCATTATGCCCACCTTATTCGATTGTTTGGTGCTCCAAATGGCCTGTGCTCCTCAATCACTGAGTCAAAGCATATTAAGGCCGTCAAGGAGCCTTGGAGGCAGTCCAGCCGATATGAAGCACTGGGTCAGATGCTGCAAATCAAACAGCAGCTGGACAAGTTGGCAGCATCGCACATAGATTTCTGCAGTCGTGGAATGCTCTCAGGTACATGTTTGTCGGCCGTTCTCACAACGCTTGGTATGAATTTCATTTCTAATACCTTCTTCACTATTAAATCACATTACTAGAACCAATGGATGAACGGCCTGCTGCACCCGCCAGTGCAGAGCATGCTGTGGACCAATATGAGCCACCTAGCCTGATAGAGTCAGCCAGTATACTCGACGCAGACGTCAGCGCCGACTCTGAGGACATTGATGAGCCAACTTCGGTCCTTGCGCATGTACAACTTGCTCGAACATCTCGTAAGTTGTTTTTTTTTTTTCATTTGCGTGATTTTAATATACTAAGTGTTAATACAAATAGAAGGAAAAAAGCGCTCACAAAGTGTTCCTGCCCTAGCTGACGAGCTCAACATCCCGAACATGACAGATCTCGTTCAACAATTCCTTGTTGAGCAGCTTTATCCCGATAACGATGCCGCAGAAGCCCCATTTATGGAGTGCCTTCATTATGAAGGAAGGATCCGAATTTTCAACTCTGTGGTATTGATGTTCTTCGCGCCTAGTGATTTGAGCGGAATTGGGGGGATGAAACAGGAACACATTCGTGCATCCCCAAAATGGAGAAGCGGGTATGCATGCAAAGACTGTGTGTTTGTGATTACAGACCCAGATGCTCAGGGTATGCGGGGCATGGACATTGCTCAGGTACTGACATTTTTTTCTTTTCGGCTGAGGGGCAGATATTATCCATGTGCTGTTGTCCGTTGGTTCAACCGAATTGGCGATGCACCGGATGATGAGACTGGGATGTGGATGGTGAAGCCATCTTCTATCGGTAATTGTAGGCACTTTGCAGTGATCCACATTGACTCCATTTTTCGTTCTGCTCACCTTATTCCTGTCTATGGTACTGAACCACTTCCCTCGACGATTAAATCTCACCACATCCTCGACGTATTTACACTCTTCTATGTCAACAGATACGCTGATCATCATGCCTTCAAAATAGCTTCTTAGTGCTTTTAACTTATCGCTAACTTATTTCTAACATTTCACTCTTTCCAGCTTTTTCGCTTATTTCACCCTTTTTACTTATTTAATGGCACAAACTTATTTGGGAATCCGTCAACTTATGATGTTTGGAAAATAAGTGAGAAAAGTAATGATGAGCAATGGGTCTTGTCGATAAGTACAAAAAAAGCTGAAAAAGTGAATGTGTGATTTCCTGATGAAGTAGCGATTATCTGCTTTGCGAAAAAGCACATACTGCAGTCACTTTACCCTCGTATAAAACATACAGCCGAGGTTGAAATATCCCTGTTCTACACAGGCCACCCGACGTGGGCCCATCAATGTATCTTTGTGTTAAATACAGGTGGGCCGGTCTCAAGTGTGTATCTGATACAAACAGGGGGCCCATAGTATGTGGTGTAGTAGATAAGTGTAGACTTTTCTATTGACTTTGGCAGGTAGTGTATGAAGTATGTACCTGATACCAACAGGTGGGCCAGTCTCAAGTGTGTATCTGATACAAACAGTGGGCCCATAGTATGTAGTGTAGATAAGTGTAGACTTTTCTATTGATTTTGGTAGGTAGTGTATGAAGTATGTACCTGATACCAACAGGTGGGCCAATAGTCCAAAGTGTGGAGTTTGCTATTGCATTTGATAGGCAATATACAAGAGCTATATATATATGTATGATGGAAACAAGTGGGCTGAGTGGGCAGTGGTACTGATATATACAGATGGGCCGAAAGTGTTCATAGACTAGCTTCCATAATATACATGCCAAGACCACCTCGGTCAAAGGACATTCGGTCAAATATGATGGATGAGGGATTACCAGGAATCGATCAATAATATAAATGCCAAGACCACCCCGGTCAAATACACTCGGTCAAATACAACTCGGTCAACAGACATTTGGTCAAATATGATGGATGAGGGATCTACCAGGATCCGATGCATAAGATACATGCTAAGAGCACCTCGGTTAAATATGACACAGTCAAAAGACACTCGGGTAAATACGACTTGGTCAAAAGACACTTGGGTAAATATGACTCGGTCAAATATGACTCTGTCAAAAGACACTCAGTCAAGAGACATTCAGGTAAATACGACTTGGTCAAATTTGACTTGGTCAAATATGACTTGGTCAAAAGACACTCGGGTAAATACGACTCGGTCAAATATGACTTGGTCAGAAGACATTGCTGCATGAAGCCATTCGGCGGTCGCAGCACCTGCATGATGGTGCCATTAGGCAGGGTGGCATAGCCGTTCATAGGGATGTGGTAACTACTGAGTGGGACAGATACCGGAACGTGCTGAGACTCAGCCTTGAGACGCGCTGGTGAGCCAGTCTGATTGGACTGGGGAGGTTCCGCAGGAGGTGACATCTGCACGTCTGTCGGTCGATGTGCTGTGCCATTGAGAGTCGTGGCGGCGATGCCATTGGGTGCGGTGATCAGCCTGACCAAGTGGCCATCTGGCGTAGGAGTGCCAGAATGGTTGCCATTGGCTCCATTCGTGGAAGCGGCGGTGCGAGGAGGGGAGGACTGCTGAGCTGAAGACGATGGCAAGAAGATATCAGTGAATTGTATGAGTTGGTGAATTTTCAGTTGCGTGGAATCTCATCGGCATGCATGATGTGGTGACTGAGATCAGGCGATCAGTCATATGGAGTATAAATCGGTCAATTCTGAAAAGACAAGAAACTGCAGGATACCGTGCCAACTGCAACACATGACCGAGATACACTCTGCCGACATGCTGTCGGTACTTATATCACAGGAAAGAGAGTGAATATACATGGAATCAACACCCAAACAATTGCATTTGAACACCTGGGTAACACCTATTCTCATGCTTATTAGTAACAAATATAGCATAGCATGTATGTTACTAACAAGGGGGGAAAAGCTCTGTCGCAGCACTTCAGCAATACCCGCAGCACTCAGCAGTCCCTTGGGTAAAATAAATAGGGCGGGAATATTCAGATATGATAAGGGAATTATCTAGTCTTATCTACTGATTAGATTGGTCACACTATCTATTTGTCATCCCCCAGATAGGAACAATTGATACCACTACACCTCCGGACACTTCCCACGCTGTTCTCTCTCAACCTCAACGTCGTCAACAACAATGAGCTTGATATCTCCCTTGTCCCTAGCTCAAATTCCATCGCTCTTTCGGTGTTTGTGCTCCTGGTGGATGCCCGATCCCACTGCTGACCTCCCCCGTGATCTCACACCCCTCCCTTGTGCGCTATGTCGCACCTGGCGACCTCGTGTTGATCGACCTTACGTCTGCCTGCAACATGCACTTTTTTATCCCTTTCCCCCGTGTACAACATTCACCACCACCACCATGGGTCCCACAAGAAAACGGATGTCGACGTCATCAAGGGTTACTATGACTCTTCTCGATAGTAGCTCCATGACAGTGCGCACCACCAGATCATCACTCACTCAGATTCTCCAGCAGCGGCTTCTCAGAGCAGACCAAGAACGCCATGCTCGAGGTACATTTAATATTCTCACAAAGGTTCATTGCTCACTATGATTAGAAAAAGCCCGACGCATGCAAGAATTGCTTGCTGAAGCTCAGTACTCGCGCCGTGATAATTCCCATCATACATTCGATTTTTCAAAGCCGATGAGCGCTGCGCTCAGTGATTCATGTCATTGTCAATGTGTACAGAAGGTACATATGATACTAATCTTCGTCCGAACTCGAGCTTGAGCTTGACTCATTGCTGTCAACAGTCTCTTTGCTCATGTGCTGCAGTGATGCACGTGCCCTTGCTTTCCTCGGCACATAAACTTGCTCTCCACGTGCCTGACGTACTCGGTTGTTTTTCATCCTGTCGTGAAGATCATCCTCCGAGAGCGAGACCCACTCGCACGAATGGGATTTGAGAGCATCTAGTAATGTCTGAACATGTGCCCTTCCACCCACCTTAGAAGGATTTTTTACTGTCCCTGGTAGAGGCCAGTTGTGTAGCTCTATGCCATAATGTTCGACGATAGCACGCTCATAGTTAGTGTAGTTCATTTTAACCTTGCTCAACACATTTTTCTCCATCAAAATGAAATCTTAATCAAGATTTATGTTAGTAACGGAATAAGATTTGATAACACAAAACACGCGTACCTAGCTCGGCTTGAATAAGCTCGCGACATTCGCCGATGAGTTTGTTGAGTGGCCATGCATGGTTGAGAGACACGCGTTCGTCTTTGGAACAATTAGTAGGATACAGTGTTGAGGGGAAAGACATACCCAGCTCGCTAATAATGAAGGCTTCTAATTTGAGTCCGAGGTGCTGCAGCTCGATTCCTAGTACATCCTGAACGAACTTTTGAGACTTCTTGGTGAAAAACACTTTCGGCTCCGCAAGGTCCTCGATTCCGCCATGCACAGCAACGTAAAAACCTTCCATACCGGTGCACGCATGAAGAGCCATCCACTGTGGTAGGTTAGTTAGTTAGTTTTAGTTAACCCTAATTACAAGATGAAAACATACCTCACGATCCATTGAAGTGAATTGTCATGAATGTTACCAACTGCATCTAAATTTCGATTATCGAACCCTAAGTCACCTTATCCGATAAGATTAGATTAGATAGATCCCTGATAAGATAAGATGGATAACCGATTAACGATCACTATCTCTACATCACATCTATACTACATCGACGTCATCCATCCTTATCCGTAACCCTAGACATACGAACTCATCACATCCTTAGAAGTCCTACGATTAGGCAACGGGTTACTTCATAAGCATCTACATGCCTCTATGATCGAACCATAACCAAAGAGTCCTTTACGACTATCTCTTGAAGAGTCATCACCTCTTCACATCGCATACCTTCACTTCCTTCACATGACATGTTAAGAGTTACCTCTGTCATTCACCGAACCCCTTACATAAGAACCTGTTGCACAGTCACAGCTAAACCCTGAAACCCTATCACAGAAGCATTGCTCATAGAGAAGCATGTTCATTACCGAAGACCCTGGAGAACCCTTAGATCCGATCGTACCCGATACATCTCCAGATCCTATCTAGATCCTCGATCTAGATCCAAGATCCTATCTCTTATCGAGATCCTTAATTACCGCTCGAGACTTCTTGTCACAGAACTCTCTCACACCCTTCTTAATCTCCGCTTACCCTGAATAGAAGCAGTCCCTGAGAACCCTGCTTAATCACCGATACCCTTGACCCCTATGAACCCTCTACCCTTTTCTCCTTGTAGTTGATTGGCTGATAAGACGCCCTATACCCTAGGTGCAATGTTATGACCGTATATAGTTATATCACAACCTTTCATACTCAGCTATCTCCGCCTAGAGAGTAGTATATAGTTTAGGTCGTAGTCAGTAGTACTCCTTAGACTTAACCTCCTCGTTTCTACGTTATCGTAGGGCCTAGATGTTCCCTCTCAATCCATCTTGCTTTATCCTCTTCAGACTGAGTCCTGTGGTGTGATCCATACTCCAGACACCTACTAGTTAGGTTAAGGGACGCTGGTCATAACATGAATGCAGCATTCACATCGTGTTTGACGGCTTTAGGGTTTGCGCGTGCGGTATGGTTCTTCACTTCTCGAGCTTTGAGAACACGAATGTTGTAACCTTTCTTTTCAGCAACGGTGAGTCTTCCATAATCCCGCAGCAATCTCGCCTTGTTTTGCGCAATGAACACCGTAAGTTTGAAGCGATCCCCTCTGCCTAGTCCTAAAAATGTGATTGTTATTTTTACTCCGTCATAAAATTGTAGACTAACCTTCATTTGCATCCTGAAGTCGAGCTTTAACAAACGCATTCCAGGAGTTCACACGTCTATTCTGCTGCAACATGCGACTATGGAGAAACAATTGGTTTCTCGTCCACTTGAGTGAACTAATATAAAATATTAATATCGACCACAATGAGAAAGGACCGGCTTGGACTCCAGAGGAGAAGAAATGGTGCTCACCGGCCATGTTTTTGCGCAATCTCAACGGCCTCTGTTTCATATGACTGTTTTGCAGTGTCGATGTCATCTGCCAGCTGTTCCTGACGGACACGCTGTTGGGCCTTTTGAGCTGCTGTTAGTTGAGCACGCGCTCAGTGAATCTTAGTGGTCAGGCGAGTAACCATGGTCCAGGGGGCTTATGCTGACACAACAGACATGGTAAGGCAGGAGTATTTTATACTGGGCAGATCCAGGGACAAAGTTTGAAATATGTGTGGTACAAACAAACAACGTTAGAAATATATGCGAAGATGGAGTAAACAGAACCACCAGAATGAAACTAAACTAAATGAATGTGAGTGGGCATTCAATGAAATAGACTCCAAGTGGCAACTCATGAAGCTGATGGTCACGACTTGCGCTATTGATGATTCTGATGAGTTTGCCACAATGATCTTCAGGGATATCCATCTTCATCAGTATGGCCGTCCAACAGTTAGCTTTGTACCCCTCAATCTGTTGGATACAGTGCCAGATCTCGTGGCGAATAGCGGGGGATTGAATTACAGCTTGTTTGAGGGTGTCCATGGCTGTTTGTGCGCATTCGTCCCAAATGAAAGGTACAGCATTGCGGGTGAGATTGGTAAGTGGTCGTGCAATGAGGGCATAATCCTTGATCCAGTTGCGAATAGTGCCTGCTATGCCGAGAAATCCTCGGACTTCGGTGCGTGAAGTGCAGGGTGACCATTTCTTGATTTTCGCAACTTTAGACTCATCAGGGATACGTCCCTTATAAGTGCACCGCTGACCAACTACTATCACCTCCGGTACGCAAATAAAAAGCTTCTTAGCTGATACCGTGGCTCCAGCATGCTTGAGTTGGTGTAGAACTCGGTTGACATCTAAGCAGTGCTCCCAGACAAAGCGTTGAATACTGGGATTTTTGGGGATTGTTTTGAACATGCTATCCAAGAGCTCATACTGTGTGCTTGGTCCAAGAATGTTGACGTCATCTTGAAAATTTGGTGCGATCTCGATCTCGTGCTGCAAAATGAAAGCAACATCATTCTGGAAGACGGCAGGTGAATCTGTCCAACCCATGGGTAGAGCAGTGAGACGAAAGGTGCCGAGAGGTGTTTGGAAGGTTGTAAGATCACGTGATTCTTCGGCAAGTGCACGATGATCGAAACCGACAAATAAATCCATCATCGTATAAATAGATCGTCCGGCTGACTGCTCTGCAAATAGCTCAACATACGGAAGAGTAGCAGCGTCTTTGACAGTGACTGCGTTAAGGGGCTGGAGGTTGTGGACAATGCGAATGGAGCCATTTTTCTTTGCAACACAGAACCAGCTAGATTGATAGGAGCTGTTCGATGGTTCATAAATCCCTGACGCGATTTTTGACTTAATGAGGGAAATGACCTCATCGCGGATTCCCGGTGGGATGGGTGGCTGACGATGTACCCATGGAGTGTGCTCTATGGTTGGAATGATAACCGGTGGGAAATAGTCATCCCGAAATCGGCCTTTCTCCGTCTCATCCCATGCTAGTGCTAACTCGTTGAGAGATAAGACATGTGCAGCTAACTTTTGCTCGTCGGGCCATAGAAAGCTGTTCTTGAATATTCCAAGGTCGTTCATGCGTTCCTCGGTGAGACGGGTGCCTGGAATAAAGTCTGAGGGAGTCGGAGAGACCGTGGGAAGGGATAGGAGTGGGTCTTCGGGAAGACAACGGATAATACGAGCATGGGCTGGCATGGTAGTTGCGACTGGCTTGATTCGATTAGCAACCTTCTTATATGCGAAAACGTGTCGGAGTGGATCATAGTCGAATGCATCTTGCAACAGGTGCTCCGAGAGAGAGGTGGCAGTGAGACGTGAGACAGCGATGGGTGATGATGAAGGAGTTGAGGCTGTAGCATGGAAGGTGGATGTTGCGAGCATGAACGAGCCTGGACGGGGTGGGAGACGAGGTGATGTAGCGCAGGTCCGGACACGTGTGATGTCAGTGGGGTCGTGGATAGTTACATAGACCATTTCTGCTGTTTCGGACTTTGATAACTTTACGAGTCACTGCCAAGGATGTCCTAGAAGCAAGCGATAAGGTGCGTCCGCAATAACGTAGGCATGTGCCCAGGTTTTAATGCCATCTACATTGATCTCGAGCATTTCGATACAACCAGCCATATCCTGCGAACTGCCATTAGCCGTCTGCATACACATACGAATGTCTTTATTGATTGGGGCTCGAATCTTCTTCCAGACATCTTCGTGAATGACGACAAGCTCTGACCCTTCATCTAATAATCCCATCTCCGTGTGAATGCCGTTTAGCGTGACCATGAGCTCGCGAAGGGGGGTAGCATGTTCGACTAGGGGTGGCGGTGCGGAAACAATGGCCGAGAGTGCGTTTGTGGATACTGCTGATGGCGTAGCGATCCGATGGGTGCGGCAGTGTTCTACAGCTTCGCGGCGAAGATCTGGGCTGATTGCGAGAAGGTCGGAGATTGTGACATTGGGGACAGCCGTGCTGAGCATGTTCTGATAGATACGAGATGCTGCGTCTGGGGTAGCCGCCTTGGATTCATAGGTGAAAGCTGGAGCCTTCTTAGCATAGGCATTGGAGGGCGGAGGTTCGGTGGAACAACTCTGGCTTCGTGCACGGGGTAACTCGGTGACATCAGACTTGATGGATGGTTCTGGGGTTGATCTGATTTTATCCGATGCTGCAGACTTGGCCTTGGAACGTGTGATAGCTAGTGTTTCAACTCTGGATTCTTCGTCTTCGATCGTCGTGACCGTAGCATGGTTCTCGGCTATCCGCGTGCATTGAAGAAAGTAAGACTCTGAAATGAATGCGCTGGAGGGAATGGAAGGTGTGGATGGCATGTGCGGAGGTGCTTCGCGTTCGAAGGGCTTGTGATTCACTGGAGCAGGTGGAGCTGGAGTCGTGCTTACACTGTACTTATCGATAAGTTGTTGCATCGTCTCATTGCGTCGTCGATAGATGCGTGAGCCATCTGGGTATGCATAGAAATGGTTCTCGCGAATAACACGTCCTGTGCGAATATACTCTGCCGCCGTAGGGCAATTACGAATCAGATGCTGTTGTCCACAGAAATAGCAGAAGAAGTCGTCGTTGAATGATCGGGATGGTGCTGCGTGTGTTGGCGTGACTGCGGGAACATTGTTTGAGATTTGACGAGTGCGCGGAGGGGCCCAAGCTTGAGCAGCTGCAGGAGCGAGACAAACAAGACGGGTGTAACATGACGAATAATTGACGTCTGCGATGTCAAGTCCATGCATCTGCCGTGCGAGAGAGTCAACTTCATCTAGCGTAGACTTTTGCGTACTGGGAATGGGGGTTCTGGGCTTCTAAAACGGACATTCCTAGTCTGCACTTCGCGCGGAACAGTCTCGGAGTTCATCTTCATCGTCTGAATCAGTAACTTGCCCGATTGCGTGCGCGAGAGTTGATCAGTTGCGCTAGTCGGAGTACGACGATCTCGAATGGATTTAATGCGGAGAGTGATGGGATCATTGAATTCGGCATCGAAGGCTTCGTCCGAGAACACATGACGACCAGCTGCTAGAACCTTCTCAAAATCAGCTGGCTCGTTGCGGTCGAAGTTAGGATCCTTAAGTTCCAGACGCTGGAGGATCTGCCGACGAGCACGGACAGATAGTCCTTGCCAGAAGTACTTATTGCGGTCCCGTACTGATATTTTGTTGTTCGTGACGAGCCAGACGGCAATCGCACGAAACTGACGGTAGTACTGAATGAGCTCGGTCTCCGTACAAATGTCATTATCCACTTGATTGACGACAATCCGTTCGAGATCACGAACGGTGTAGCGCTGCCCCTTGCTCGCACCAGGGTACTGATCTAAGATATTCTGCTTGAAAACGGGATAGTCGTGACTCTCGTAGCCAGTGAGCGTGATCCAGAAACGCTTCGTCGGGAGATCGACGTATCGTACTAGACACTTGCACTTGTCAGCTTTGTTAAGCCGTAAGTAGTTGCGAGATCTTCAAACAGCTCAAAGAACTCTGAGAGTTCGGACGTCTCGCCATTGAACAACGGCACTTTGCTTGAGTTGGGACCAGGCATGGCGCCTATGCCTTGAAGCGCATGCGACATCACGGCGGTTGGCTGGGGTGCGGCTGGTAGTGTAGCGTTGGTGAAGATGGCGGGTCTTAGTTGAAAGGAGGGTTGAGGGTGCGGCTGCGGCTGCGGCTGCGGAAGGCTGAAGAGTGGTAACGAGGGTGTCTTTGTTTGTGAGACGGTAGTGGTGATGGACGTTGGGGAGCTGGGTTTGCTGACGATGGGCGCGAATGGGTTATCTTCATCGCTGGATTCCTGATTATCGAGTCAGGGACGGATTGGGGTAGGTATTGTACTGCTGGCGGCGACTGGATTCGACGGTGTTATTGGGATATATGGTAGTGGATGGGAAACGGATGGGGCGGTGAGGGAGCGGCTCTTGTTTCTGGTGACAGCCAGCATGGGCAAGTCTTCTGCTAGAGACTTCTGCGGGAGTCCTCTGTATTGAAGCGGAATGGTGATAGTCGGGAGTGAGGTGATGATGGTATGGAGTTGGACAGAGATCTAATCACCCCCTCGCGGTGGGCTCCAATGTGTAAGTTAGCTACGACGTGCGTAGCTAGAGGCGATGCGAGTGCGAAGGGGGTAGATAGACCGCTGAAGGAATGATAATGATTAGTGTTAGCTTCAAATGACGGATGACGGATGCGAGAGATATCGTGAATCGGTAAACGAGAGTGACCGCGTTATAGCGATGATAAGAGAAGGTAATGAGACGGGTTCTTCGGGGCGTTCTTCTGGGGGATCTACTGTTCTATTCTGCTGCTTATTAGGAATGTACATGGGCTACTTATACTGTAGGATGAGGAAGGGTCGTCCTAGAATAGTTAAAGGCAAGGGCTCAGTGTACGGTCGGTGAAAGCGGTAGCTGAAGGGAGTGGCGTTTGTATTTGATAGTGTAGCGAGAGAATGATATAAGAGTTGTTGACAAGGTGAAGACGGCGGTATTATGAATGGAGGAACAGTAACGACAGGAAGGGTTTAGCGAGTGATAGGAATTGAAAGGATAGGTACTAATAAAAGGGGTCGGGTATCATGCTTGACAAACGGTCCAGGCGTTGACGTGGTGGTTGCGGTGAGAGGAGTATCGGCATGTTCCGGCGATAAACGTTTGGTAATTCTTACACATGCCAGAGATTTTATCAGGGCCCAGAAGATCTTGAGCCCACGTACACCGAGGAGTGTTTGTCTTGTCATTAAGGAAAAACTTCCTCGCAAAGTTTGCAATGACAGGGGTTGAGACATTCGTGCTGTCAGTGCTTTTTGAAGTACACGACTTAGAAGACTGAAACAATGTATGAATCTTTCTGAAACTTGAATTATGATGAAAGGAAAACGTACACTGTGTTCAGGAAAGAAATAACTGTCGCAACAAGTGTTACCACGTAGGACGCTATGCGTGGGTTATTCATTGCAGCTTCTGCAACACCACTTGGCAGGCTGATGGGGCCACTGGTGCAAACATAGATCGCAAACCACAAAGCAATGGTGAAGATAGCAACTTGAATGAAGACATGACATGCCAGCAGGCCGTTGCAAAGATTGCGAATTGTACAGTCACGCCCCTTGGAGTCAGGGCATTTCTCGGAGTCAAAATGTTTCTCAGAGTCGAGGCGCCTCCATGCGCCTCTGTGCGTACGAGCAAAAGAGAAGGGATTCTGCCATGCAGCCATTGGTGATGACTTGTCGTAGTGGAATGAGCCCAAGTTGAATGCGATCGTGGCAGCAGGCTCACATCAGTAAAATACTTATATTGTCGTAGCCCTAGTGACAACTATATAGGGCTACATAGGTACCGTAACCTACTAGTGTAGGGGGCAGAAAGGAATTGGCAGAATGGAAGAAGTCGGCAAAATGTATCATCACCAAAATTCCTCAACCTAGATCAGGAAACAGCCACCTCACTACATAGTACTATATAGCCAGGGTAGTCCGTGTAGCTCTGTAGTTACATGCCCTCTATATAGCAACTGAGGTGACTACATAGTACTACATAGTGCTATATAGCGCTATATAGCGCTACCAGGTACTACTGTAGTAGATTGTAGTTAGTGATGTGCAAAGCCCGGCCTCAGGCCGTGGGCCAAGCCTGACCGGGCCTCCTTAGGCCGAGCCCAGCCGGGCTTTGAGAGCGGCCTAGTAGGGCTCAAGGCCCGGCCTCAGGTATGTGCAGGCCAGAGCCGGGCCCTCAGGCCGTGGCTTTCATACTAATTTTCGTATCTGTACGACGATCGCCGGATAACTGCACAGTTCATCGCGCCTCTGTCCTGGGGCATCATAGCCCAAAGAATGAATCATTGTCATAACAAGGCCCAGTACTTCGGGTCATACATTAAAGCCCTTCTCCCCCCAGTACTTCGGGTCATACATTAAAGCCCTTCTCCCCCCCAGTGCTTCGAGTCATACATTAGCATCAGTAAACTACAACTTTTCCCACAGCGAGCGCAAAATCTGCGCTCTTGTGCAGCCAGCCACAGACTCCACAGTTCTCCCAATGTCCCAGCTCACTCGGACCACAAGGTATCCAGTCACTCACAGTTCTATATGGCCTGCAGCACTTTGCAGCACATTTCAAATTATATACTGTATATCCCAGTAGTAGTACTTCAATATGATTCAATTTCAATGCTCAAAATTTTCGTTAAGTCCAAACGACTCGAGTCGGAGGAAATTCAAAGACAGTGATAAGATAGGCTTCATGGATCCAATAACAACACGGACACCATCATGAATGCCTTCGCATACTACTAGTACGCTTTGAGGGACACAGCTTCGCACAGCAACACATCTACGGTCTTCATCTTATTCACTTCCTGCGCTCGACCCCACCCAGAAATATCGTTGGCCTGTCTCCTGTGCGATTCTGGCTCAGTGGTCAAGTGACATGACCGACCATGAGCATATCTGTGGCCAAAGCTGCATTCTTAGGTTTGTTTTTTGAGACTTTATTTTATGGTGCGTTACCCACTGGTAGAAGAGTGATGGTGTCGGATCTCACTATTTAAAATAGGCGTGTTCTTCACTTTGTACTGGTTAACATTGTTCGTCCTCTTTAAGAAAACTGGCATTCAACGGCGACTTCTTATCCCAGTGGCAACCTTACTGCTCTGCATTGCAACGGTCGTAAGTGTGATCAATCCTCTTGGGGGAATAAGTTTAACACGATCACTTTCAGCATCTAATCATAGATTTTGTTCGAGGGTTAGAGGCATTCATATTCCAGGTGGATACGATTGGTGCCGATGCCTATTATTCCGACATGGCTTCACCGCTGAATCTCGTATTGATATCACTTTACGTCACGCAAACCATTCTTGCTGATGGTGTACTTGTGAGTTTCACCACCCGAGATGTTCGCTCTCCTCTGAGTAGGGTATTAGATTTGGCGAGTTTACGCGTTCAACAACGGAAGCCTCTTCATTGCCATTCCTGGTTGTATCGTTCTGTCGGCCACTGCGGGTGAGTATTCCGATAGGCGTTATTCGATCATCTTATTCCATGGCATTTTTAGCCATTGGGTACTATCTTATTTGGCCCTTCTCTCGGACCAGTCTGATGTTCAATATCCCTGCTGCTATTTCTGGGTGTATCGCCACTTTCTATACATTGACCATGTTTACCAGCGCCACCTGTACCAGTACGTCTGTTGCACCAGATCTGCAGGCACCTGATGACCAGAACAACGCAGCTTTGATTGCCTGGCGCATCTATCGCAATCGCCGTTTCATGCCAGGAGGGCTTGGCATTTTTTTACCCGTCTTCATCGTCATCATTGAGAGCGGCCCTTTATATACTACGTGTGTCCTTGCACTCCTTGCAGCATTCTTGATCAAATCCAATGGCGAATACGTTGTGTTGGGCGTTATCGCTCCTACTGTGGTAAGCTGATTTGGCTTGGACATAAACTGCTCGTAAGATTTTTCTTCAGGGAATCATATTCTGCCTCATTATCCTGCAAGTGCATTTCAACGTAGGCGGCAGGCCCCCCACCGAGCAACCTGCGCAAATGAGGAGCATTCGATTTAGAGGGCGAGGTGTCCGGGACGTCGACTCCAGCAGGGAACCGATGACTATGCTCACCATGCAGGAGTCGGAGATCGTTCAATCTGACATAATGGGAAGAAAGAATGGCCAACCGCTCTCGGGGGGTTTCTTTCAATTGTAAATTGGTCACGTTCAATTCTATGCAGCCTTTCCGTCTGCGAGCAGCTAGGTCGCCGATCCTGTTTTCGGAGGACGAGACAGACAATGGTCTCACTACATCGAACATTATTGTACCAGGCGCTATACCCCCCATCTTCACACTATATATTCATAATTGGCTTGCTGAAGTTATTTATTGCATTATCGCATTTTAAAACAGACACAGAAATGATGTCCTTCCATCCTGGACATGTTGCAGGAGATGCCTGACCGACTGAAGAAAGAAGAACGTGATCTGAGCCATACTAATGTGGATGCTTCTACTGAAGCTGTGTTACCTTTGACGATCCGACTATCTGCAGGATGAATCACTGTCCGTGTAAGTAGTGGTGGTGCATGCTCTGTCCATCCATGTAGCCTTCCTGAAGTTAGCTGTTGTACCTACATATATGTGTTGATCTATGACATGAATAAAGCGAGGGGAGTCGGAGCCACACTGACAATTACATAGCGCCCAGGGTGCGGCACTCACACTCTGGAGCCTTACTAATGGCCCCCGAAATCATCTCTTGCCTGACATATTCCGCTGGGATGGCCCTGAACGCTGCCTAAAATACCAAGAGCACCGTGGCCACTGAGCTTGATCAACGCTGATGTGACTTGACCCATCTGTCAGCTCGGATATCCGGGTAGTGAATGTTAATCTCTGATGATGGAAGTGCTATGGGTGAGTTGATCATTACCAATGGCGTTTTATTCGAATCGACCAAGTGATCAACACATCGCTTTGTCAATCGGAAGCAAACTGCTAAACCAGATGAGTTGACCAATACTAATTGTGTCGTGTCTAAATCGTCCAAGTGAGTTAACTGATGAACTCGCACGATTTGAATCCGGTTCCGCAGCGCCCTAATTTCCTGTTCGCGTCGTCGAGAATCAAATTGCGAAGGTCAGTTTGTGGATCCGAGTAACCGATTCTGAGGGGGCCTATACAGCTGGTAATTCTTTCAAGGCTTGTAAGCCACTCCCCCATCTCCGGGCGCTAGGAGAGGGAACACCGCTTCACCGCGTCCTACTAACGCACACACTCTCAATTAATATCACACCCTCCTTCAGCACATACCGACGACCTCACCCCTGACAACTCCAGCGGTGAATTGGCAGAAGCACCAAGAATTGCATGACACTACAATCAAACCGCAGAATATTCAAACGTGGTCACGACTCAGGAGCCGTGAGAACGTCTAAGCTTAAGCACCACAGGTTGAGCAAGTACAACCACCAGAAGTCGAGGCTCCATCGAGTTCGACCGTTTAGCACTACACAGCAGCAAGGTAAGAAACCACCAATTGAGGCGTACCAGTCTAAAGGCAGGACCCGAACCGGTAAGAAATTCTGACTTATTATGGCGGCGACTGCAGCAGACGCAGACGGAGCGAAACGACAACAGGAGGGAGACGGGATAAGACGGTAGTATGAATCACAGGAGTCCCAGTAATTTAAGAAGTATGGCTTGCTGACGAGAGAAACGAACCGTCTATCACAGGCCGTCACGGCATGAAATTTGGATTACAGTTACAGCTGTTTGTGTTGAGAAGATGAAAATCACCGAGCCATGGCCAGTACCACACTATAATAAACTGTGGAACACACCAGCTATAATCAGTTTTCGCTCAAAGTGACGGATGAGCTGATTGATAAGAGAGAGATGCCAATAGATCCTTGTTTCTTGGAACGAACCTGCACTTGAATGGCTTAGGGTGCCTTTGGGTGTGTAAGAATACGATTTAGAGTCACAGATTGATGAGTTACCGAATTGGACCAACACCCTCGAACTCTGCAGAAGGGGTAATCTGTCCCCCTCTCATCTAGCGGTTTTAGCGATCGTGAACGCAGCAAGGGTACAAGAAATATTCAGGTATAATGATGCTTCGGCAAAATGGATTCCTAAAATAGAAGGCACTCATTCAATACAATCTGAGTGTTGACTGGGGCAGTGTTATGCGAATGACACGCACCAGGGCATGCACGACGCCCGAACCCAAAGACGAATTTGTGCGGGTCCAATTGGGGAGAGGGGACCGAGGGAAGCGTTCGGGCCTGAAACTCCAATGGGTCGGGGTACGTCTCTTTATCGCGTGACATGGAAAAGATGTTTGCTATGACGATGGCACCCTTAGGAAATTCGGTACCCTTCGTAGACGTCTTCCTTCATTGCGTGGTGGGTTGAGCCCTGGGTTACTGAGAGTGAGCGGGAACGAAACCACAAAAAAAAGAATATGCCTAACCTCGCGGTGCCACGGGTGCCCAGCGGAGGATCTCCTGGATGAGCGCTCTGATGTACGGAAGCTTTTCTCTATCCTCGAAAGTGGGAAATCTGTCTTGGCCCACGACAGCATCGATCTCTGCCTGCGCATGCTTCTGCACCTCGGGATAGAGCATCATCGCCAGAACAAAGGACGTGGCGGCTGCTACTGTCTGTTCATTGTATTGATTGTTCACAATGCATGAGGAAGGTGCAAAAAAAATCTTACGGTGTCCTGCTCCCCCGGCATAGATCCCCTGTGCATGCACCACTTGATTATTTCTTCTTGCTCGGCGCCGACTGTGGACCCATCCTCCCGAAGGAGCTGTTTCTGAGACGACGAAGGAGCATAGTTATCACTTTTCTAAGAGGCGATGACAATTGTTAGAGCTTCTTATGAAGGAAAGTAACATATCGCAATAGCCAAGCTTACTATTTGCTGTTTCGTCCAGTCAAATGGTATGGTATCAGTCCTACTTAGCTTTTTCCCGAGGTCGAAGGCCACGCGTTTAAAACCTGCGCCTGGGAACCATAGATGGTACGAAACGCACTCATAGAAGATTGGCTGGCTTAGCTTTATAATAACTCGGAAAATGAAAAGATGACCTACAGGATGGTATCACTTCGACCAACCAAACGGCCAGGCCGGGACAGTATAAGCAGACATGGCAAATGCTTTCTTGCAAGATGCCAATGAGATAAGCATCATTCTTAGTGACCTTCCAGCCATATGCGAGATTAAGGACAACGGCCCGCCGCGTTTCCTGCACCTCCGATGAGAAGCGAAGAAAACAAACCCAATCACGATTATTTTTACCTTCTGATGTGCGCAAAAAATTGTTCAGGGTCTTGTGCAGACCATCAAGCAAACACTCGAGATTCTTCGATTTGCAGGCGACTGTACCTTTGTATATTGCGGGGACTCAGACTTGCTCTGAAACATCTTCGATAAGTCTTGAAATACGCGTGATTGAAAGATATGCTGACCGCGGTCAGCATGCGCTTCGCAAGTTCTGTGTGCATCCATACATCTTGGACGATCGGAATACGTAGTGGCGCGTGAATCGAGCAATTCAGTGGCTGTTGTTTAGGGACTGAGCACTATGAACTGCTGGCCAGGTACACGGAAGGAGAGGATGGGCCCTACGAGAAGTAGGTTAGCAAGTGTCCCAGAAAGCAGAGAACTGGAGATTATGCACCATAACTTTCCGCCCAAGTGGCGTACATCCGCCAAGACTCCTGCTTGGGTAGTTGATGCATTTCCAGTGAAGAACTTTGGATGTGGCCCAGGTGGTAGTGGCAATCTACTGCGTCGACGGCTGTAGAAGTAAACTGCGAATGCAGTGACAAAGAGGACGATTATACCAGACAACATTCAACAGATAACAGGTAGGTCCGACTATCGGCTTGAGCTCGCTTCTTTTTAAATCCATTCACCTTAGCCGCGCCCCTCGGACCCATTAGCATCATAGAAGCAAGAAGACACACTTCAATTGAGTCACGGTCCGACCTTGACTCCAATGGAGCGCGCAACTTCAAGTTGTGGGTGACGAAATCGTGTCGTGTCCCTGAGATACTCCGAATCTGCAAGTGAAGTCGCTCTCAAGATTGAACAACCTCAGGCTTGAACCCGAGTAAGTTACTACAGTATAAGTACAGAGTAAGAAAATCCGCATGGATAGTCAACTTTTATACCACTTGCCTAATAAGACGATGAGTACTATGAGATATCATGAATGAGCTTGCCTCTTGATCATGCTGATGAAAACTCAACGACCCATCAATCAGCTTAAAATATTAACCTCTCGGGATATCATATGACCGAAGGTGCTATGAGGTGCTATGGATGAATTGATTTTACCTGGCATCTTGTTCAAATCGTCCAAGGAGGTACTTGCACCATCGAATCACTGTGTGAGTCTGAACCAAACTACTAGGCAGATAATTTAATTACATAATACAATTGTCATGTCCTAATGATCAATCGTCCAAGTGAGCGAGAGCCATTCCAGGACCTCGCGTGACTCTTAGATGATTTGGAATCATGGAGAGAACTGAGTGTAGGACTCTAGAGCGATCTCATATATACGAGATCGTAGTGGCGCCTGTGCGCCAAGTTCTCCGACCCCAGTTTGGTAGTATGCCCACACCTCAGTCTATATTCGAGTCTCGAGAACATCCATTAAATTTTGAGTGGATGAATTACGAATACATCGCGAGTCACTGTATCCAATATTGTTATGAGGAAATGGAAACGGCGCTATCATAACTAACACATGACGAGGAGCATGTCGGCTGGCCGGTCTCCACTCGAAACAAGAACTAGTCCTCACACCCGAAAAATCACATGACAGATGGACAGCCTTGCTATCATTCAGTCCTTTCACCACGACAATGACAGGCACCGTGTTCCCGCGGTAAGTGGACATGGACCGGGTGTACTGTGTCTGTGTGTGCTGTAACCGAGTTAGCCCAATCACCAGCTGAGTGTGGTGCGTCCCAGACGGTAGTCAGGATGGTACAGGCTGGCACGGACACGTCCGTGCGTTGATTAAGAGAAGCCTTCAAATATTGTCAACGTGACATGCTACAACAGGCATCTCAACCCCTCACCCACTAAGAGCCCTTCAGCAACCGAAATTTGAACGAAATTTGCCAACCCAAAGTATTGGAAGTGTCTGAGATGTAAGCGGAGTCAGAAACCAATCGGTAAGATTGATCGTTATTGATATGTTATCACAGTATAACATGGATCCAGTACTCACTATGCAGCTGCTGTTGAATCAGCCGCTGTTTGCTGACCCAATACTTGCTAACAGTCTTATTCCACAGGGACTCTCATTACTGCTCAGCTGCTGCCAGGAGCTCGCAAGCAGATCAGAGTCGCCAGGCGCGAGCCGCAGTCCGCGAACGCATGCTTCGTTACATCGCTCTTCTCTCAA